CTGAATGTAAGCCCTGCTGGCCTTCAAGGACAGATGTTCTGGGGGCTCATCTTCCCATTGCAGGACCCCAGAGCTGGGAGCCTGATGTGGGGCTCAGACCCCTCATTCCTTGAGGGGAACCTCTGCAATTGTAATTATTTTCTCGTTTGTGGGTCACCCACCCAGTGGTGTGTGTCTTTCCTATACTACGACTCTGCCTCCTCTGCCCGTCTCGTTGTGATTCCCGCTTTTATATCCTTTTTTAAAAATTTTTTTACTTTTTAAAATTTTTGACCGCACCGTGCATCATGTGGGATCTTAGTTCCCCGACCAGGGATCGAAACTGGGACCCCTGCATTGGAAGGCAGAGTCTTAACCACTGGACCACCAGGGAAGTCCCCCCACTTTATATGTTTAGTCATAGATCTTTTCTGCTAGATTCTGGTCTTTCTCTTGAATAGTTTTTCCGTAAATAGTTGAAATTCTGGTGTACCTGTGGTAGGAGGTGAACTCAGGGTCCTCCTACGCCACCATCTTGGACCAGAACCTCATTAAGCAACCATGTTTATCCCCATTCTCCGTAACCGTATCCGTATATCTTGCTCAAGGTCACATGGCCAGGGAGGGGTGGAGCAGGCCTGCGTACCCCGCTGAGGTTGCCGTGACCCTCTCCTGCCTGTGCAGCCGGCCGTGTCCGAGGGAGCAGGAGCTGCCATCTGGGGAGGCCTGAGAGCTCCCCTTGGCAGGCAGGGGCTCCTGCATGTGGCCTCCATCGTTCTCTCCTTCACGGAATCGTTTCTCAGTCATTCACAAGTGATGGGCACCTTACCCAAGTGATGGTCAAGCTGCCGCACGCTTACCCCGGGCGTAACCCGGCACCGCCTTCCCTCGCTGCTCCTAAAATCACAGGAGCTCCTTCACCAGGCCTGGCTCTGCCCCCCGCTGCTGTGTCTCCAGTTGGTCTGCAACCCCCAGGGCGCTCTCCTAACTCAGAGCCTCTCCAGGCAGCCCTGCTTCTTCTCCCCACGCTCACAAGGCCCAGACTCTCCGGTCCATTCTCCAAGCCTCCTCGAGAAGGCCTCTTCCCCGGGGAAGCCTTCCCCACCTCCCTTCACAGCCCCTGCTGACTGTCAGCATCGCGCTAGTCCTTTGTAACATTTCATTTGTCTTCTCCTCGGGACTGTGTGCTCCAGGCTGCTGCTTCTCAGGCACCCAGCAAAGTACCTCGTTCACGGGAGATGATCAGAAGTGCGTTTGTCAAAAAGGAGGTGCTGTTGCGTGCCGTAGCACGGTGAACCTGAAAACGTGCTTGGTGCGGAAGCCAGGCACAGAAGCCCACCCGTCACGTGATTCCATCTGCATGAAACCTCCAGAAGAGGGACATCTGTAGAGACAGAAAGTAGATGAGTGGCTGCTTAGGTCTGGGTTGTTGGGGAGAGGGGCCGCGGGTGACAGCTAACAGGTACAGGGTTTCTTTTTGAGATGAAAATACCCCCAGATTGGTGATGGCTACACAACTCTGTAAAGATACTAAAAACCGTAGAATTATACACTTTAAATGGGTGAATCATGTGGTATGTGAATCATATCTCACTAAAGCCGTGAAAAAAGTTTTTTTAACACACCTGTCTGGCTGACGGGCTGGCATTCGGTGTGTGTGTGTTGAGGATGCCCAGGGTCCTGAATAACCAAGTCCTGTCATCGGGATGTTGCCGTGACTTTTAGCCACATTGAAGGAGAGACGTCTCTGGTCTCTAGTATAAACCAGGGTCCAGCGTGACTGTTTTCAGGCAGCCCCTCCTGCACATTCAATACCGAGTACCACACCCCTACGCTTGGCTGGGTCCCGACAGGGGAGGGAAGGCTCGGGGTGCGTGTCCCAGCTTGCAGATTGGGAAACAGGCATGGGAGGTCTGGCGACCAGCCCGACCTCACTCAGCAAGACAAGTGGCAGCCAGGAATAGCGCAGGGCTTCGAACTGCGTCCCGCTTGCTGTAAACACCGAGCCGCGCCCCCCTTCACGTGTCTGATTTTAAAAGGGGCCATAACATAGGAGCCTGGTAGCAGCGGCCCCGAAACCGAAGTCGGGCTCGAGCCGCTGGAGGAACTAATCCCGTCTCTGCGTTCCAGTCTGCAGGGACAAGTGGGGAAGGCCCGCCGGGTCGGAGCTGGGCCGGCTTCTGCCAGGACCGGTGTCAACTGTGTGCGTGTGCCTCTCTAGACACGGGCGCAGAGGTGGAGCTCATCACTCAGATATGTTTTTTGCATTCAGTAATTTCCTTCTTCCAGTGCCAGCGGGGCTGCTGACGACTCCTGTGAAGCCTCGTGCTCAGGGACCTTCTGTGCCAGTTAATGAAGGAATGGTTAAGGGCAGTGTGGTAGAATCGGGGTGTGGAAGAGCTGGGGATGGTGTAGCCTAAAGAGCAGTGACAGAGCCGCGTCAAAAGACAGCTATTGGAAAGCAGCCCAGCTCTGTGACTTCCCAGCTGAGGCATCTTTAGCAGGACCCTCGGCCCTCTGGGAGGGTCAGTTTCCTCATCTGTAAACGGGGTACCATTCGATGAGGTTTGGGGACAGAAAGGGGCCGTGGAAGAGGCAAGCGCTCGCCCTTTGCACGTGCTTTGTCTTGGGGGATTTCGTCGTGTCGATGATTCGGATGTGTCCTTAGTGGATGGTGTGTGGGCACTGGGGTCTGTCGCTCCCCACAACGTTTGCCTTAATTGAGGGCCCGGACCCCAACCAGGTGGGAAACGGTCTCTTTGGGGCCATTCAGGCAGGATAGATGAGGACCAAGAGACAGCTCAAGCCGCAGGTGCGAGAGAGTGCCTGGGCCATTAGAAATGTCCAGGGACCTGAGAGCGCCACCCGCCTTTGCCTTTCTGCAGTTGCCAGCAAGCTGTCTCCCTCTCGGACCCAAATGGGGTTTTCCTCTAGGCCTCAGGGCCGAACCTACAGGGACTCTTTGTCCAGAGCAGAGGTTGGGCTCTACCCAGAAGTGACTTTACTGGTAGAAGGCAGGCTGGGTGTGAGGTTGCAGTGAGCCTGTTTCTCCGGGCGTCTTGGGGCAGGTCGGCCTGGCCCAGCCTGGACAGCCGGCTCCCCAGGCCTTGGCTCCTGGCGGGGGTGGGGAGAACGCTGCAACAGCTGGCTGGAGCCTGATGTCTGTGTCTCACCCCAGTCTGAGACTTCTAAATTTAACCTGCTATCAGCTTGAGAGGCTGGAGGCTTCCACTGTGTGACGAAATGCCACTTGGAATCCATTTTACTCGTAACCACTCCCCCTGCGCATTCCCCTCCCAAATGTTACCCCCAAACACAGGCAGCCGTCTGAGCGTCCTGCCATGTCAGTGTGAAGGTTCGATTGCCTGAGTAACTCTGAACCCTGATGGGATCCGGCTCAGCTCCCTCCTGCCATTGGCCGGGGCTGCACCCCGTTCTCTGTTCACACGCACGCACACACACACGCACACACCATGGTCTCACAGGCAGAGCGCAGGAGCTGAATCCACAGTCGAAAGCCAAACCACGACAGTGAGCTGCACCACCCATAAGCCATCTGGGTGGAGGGCGGCCAGTGGAGCCTATTATGCAATTTCCTGCTTTGGTGTCTCAGAGGAGACACCCAGGAGACAGGATGCAGAATGCCGTTGGGTTGCTGCAGTGTGGGAAGCCCAGGGAAGAAACCAACTCCCCGACGCCCAGAGTGAACGGGGCCCCTTGTGCTCCGTGGCGATGTTGAGAGGCTACCGCCCACCCAGCCGACGAGCCCGTGGCCTGCAACTGACCAGGCAGCCCCTCACAGGCAGGGACCGAGCGGGCTCACCGTGGGCCACGGAGAACTGACAGCACAGACTTCCTGTGGCGGGGGAGGAAGGCACTTCCTGCCTGGGGAACCCAGGATGGAGTGAGCCGCAGGCGGGGGGTTCTTCTTATTAATAGGTGCCGTTAATTATTGAGCCCAGAACGTGTGCTGCTCCACAATGACTCGCTGAGGTTGAGAGCACACGGGAAGGTTTGGGCCCTGGGGCCGGGGTTCAAATCCTGACTCTGCATCTTCCCAGGTGCGTGGCCTTGGGCAGCTTCTCGACTTCGGCTCTCCCTCAGTTTCCTCATCTGTGAAATGGGGATCGGGATAACATCTGGGGTGTTGTGAGGATTTGGTGAGTTAACACCCAGAAAACGAGTAGAATAGGGTGTTCTCACTGTGTCAGGTAGGAGGTGGCTACTCAGAGAACCCCCATCTTCCATACAAGGTAAACGGGGTCAGAGGGGCTCAGTGTCTTGCCCAGACTCACAACAATGACCTTGAATCCATGGTCCACCTTCAGAGCCCACACCCACTCCAGACCTCTGGGCTGCCCCACCTCTCATCCTTCCATAAGGAGGTTCCAGTAGGAGGAGAAGATATTTACTGTCAGTGCTCTGGCCACACGACCCCTTTCAGCAGCTACAGGCGAGGGCAGGTGCAGGGCCACGGCCTAGGTTGACCTTGACTTAGCAGCCGCGTCTCCATGTGAAGACGGGTTTGCAAGTCTGTGGGTAAGGACCCAGTCTAAACACTAACCCCTCTTGTCACACAGGTTTCTACTGTTTACCAAAAAGCCAAGCTGCCCCCCAGTCCTAGCTGCACATCCAAGTCTCCTGCCCCTCCTCCACACAGGGCCCCAACCAGGGGGCACTTTGGTGGGGACTGAGGTCCAGAGCTGTGGAGAGCAGAGGATGCCATCTGTGAAGTGGCCCACCTCCTCTTGGGTTCCTCCAAGGCCCTTAGCACCAGAACCCCCAGGCTCCAGCCATATACCCACCCCCGGCGATACATTCACTCCCCAGGCCAGAGATCCAGGGCCGTCAACCCCCAAATGAACCGCCACTTCAGAAGCTTCCAGCTCCTAGCCAGGCCTACTTGAAAATTACATTTTATTTCTCTTTGTGAATATTTGTTGTTGTTTTAAAAAGGTTCAATTTACATTTTCTTCAAGAGTCTTGTGCCTCCTAGTAAGTGCATTGGTCTGTTTTCACAGTACTCTCCACGACCACAGACGGTCCTTATTGCTGGAGGAGTGTGTCCACGCCGGGGAGGGGGACACCAGAGGGATCGGGGACCCAGGTGAGAAGGCTGCGCTCTGCGTTCCTGACATGAGAAGCCGAGGGACCAGACCCAAGCTAAGCCGAGCTTCCTTAGCGGGACCTGGATCTTCCCCAGGGCCCTCCCAGCCCTGTCTACCGAAAGGCTAGGAGGGGCAGAGAGCAAGGGGCCGGGCAGTGAGGGGCGGGGCGGAGCAGCAGGGCTCCTCCCAATGGGCCCAGCCGTGGGCCCCTGCCCAGGGCCTGCTCACACGCAGGAAGCGCGGGCTTGGGGGACTCTGCCCCCAGACAGCTCAGGACCACCACTTACTGTTGGTTCCTACTCCCACCCCTACCATAGTAAGAACTCCTTAGCGATGACCCAGCCCAGAACCAGCACTCTGGTCCCTGCCCCCTCACCCAGGGCCCTTTCTCCTTTGTAGTGCAAGAAAGACCTGAGTGCAGAGAAGGGCCGTGCCGTCAGGAGGCCAGGTCCCGTCCACGGCAGCCGGCCACTGCCACCCTGACCCCTCCGCAGCCTGTGCCCAGAGGGGGAGCTGGGACCCATCATGCCCCTCACTTGAGGCTGTGGCCTCTCTGGGTGGCAGGCCTCCCTCCGAACACACCAGGGGGAACTGGCATTTTCCAGGGGGAAGGTCCCAGTCCTGACGGGTTCCCGAAGCACCAGGCCGGCAGCCGGCCGCACAAAGCTGTTTCCCGTCCAGAGGTGCCAGGAGAGCCGCACGCGTCCCGTCAGGAGCGGGGCGCTCGGGCGATGGCTGGACGTTAAGCACCCCTCGAATAAATACAGTAGCCCGTGGGTAAAGGAGCAGAGCAAGGACTCTGTGAACCACGCCTGCCCACGCTGTCCCTGGGGCTCCTACATACGGCTCATCTGCAGCAGAGATGGATTATTTCTCTCATCTGACAGTTTTCTGGGCTCGATCATTATCGGTCCGAATGAGGAACCCAGGCGATGTAGCTGTGGGTTTGTCAAGCTTGGAGGAAGGGGGCCTCCCTCAGCAGGGTGTCCCCTCAGCTCCTGCAAGCAGCCTTCAAGGCAGGCATTGCTAAAAAAGCTTGGCAACACTCAGGACCAGGTCCTGGGGCTCCAGAGGGCCCAGGACCCGAAGGAGGGTGACCTCAAGGACCAGCCTCAACCCCAGGCTCACTTCATCACCCTGGCCGTGGGTGCTGGCTCGCTTCTGTGAGGGCCGACAGCAGGGGGTCTGCCCCTTGCCTCCCGCCTCCCCAGCCTTACCAGGTCCAGGCATGCCCATCTGTGGGTGCCCTCACCTGCAGCACCGCGGTGCTTGGAGCCCATCTGCAGGCACCCCCCGGAGAGCCCGGGAGGGGCGTCCCCGAGAAGGTGCTGGGTGGCAAGGGCAGGCCTTCTCACCTTTGAACTAACTACAGCTGGGTAAGGTGGCTGGCCCTCCAGGCGTTTGGGACAGTGTGGAGGGAAACAGAAAAGCTGCCCACTGAGATGTGCCGACAGAGCCAGCTGGCGATGGGCGCTGAGGACCGAGACGGTGGGAATTCCCTGGGCTCAACCTATAACTCACGGGACCCTCCCTCTCTGCTCCTAGGCCCACCCAAGGCAAGTTCCGGCTGCAGAGGAGAGAGAAGCCCCCCGCAGATCTACCCTGAGCCCGAGCTCACAGCTTGTCACTGCAGGCACGGAGTAGGGTAAGGGTTCTACCTGGGGTGGAGAGAAGGGACTTTGGGGGCAGAATCTGCCTGTGGTTTCGGCTCAGCTAAAACGGAAGAATGAGCAGCCGGTTTTAGATCTAAATCTGTAGCCCATCCCCCTCCTCCCTCACCTCTGGCGGAAGATGCAAAGTCCAGCAGAAAAGACAAACTGCTCTCTTTGTTTCCGGTTTTTTCCTTTAAAATCGGCTTAAGGCAAAAGTTTGGCAAAGCAAGTCTACATAAGGCCGCGTGACAGAGGATGAGGGGAGCTGCCCGGGCGGGGCGGGGCCGCCGCGGATCAGCCCCGGTGGCATCAGCCCCGGTGGGATCAGCCCCCGTGGGATCAGCCCCGGTGCGGTGCGACCAGGCTCCTCGCCAGCTCCTCCTCGTCCCACCCCTGAACCTCTTAAAGAGGCGTTAAAAAAAAAAGGAACAGAAAAAGCAGTTGTTTCAGGGAGTCTGTTGCAAGTGAATGACGGAAATTGCGAGGAGAGGAAAGGAGACCCAAGGTGACACTGAGGGCGCACGTGGAGTGGTCGGTCCCGCCTGGGTCTCCCCCCTCCGCCAGGGAAGCAGGTCCCAGGAGGGCGGGGGGCCATCGCCGCGCGTTCGCACAGTGAGATCCGCCCGCTGGAGAAGGTAGAAAGGTTGTATTTTGCTGAAGGACTGCAGAGTCCGTGCGGGGTGTTTGCGTGGTGTTATTATTTGGGGTCACCTCGCGGGTGCCCTGGCTGTTACCGGTGCTTGGGCGGGATCACCACCAGCGCCGGCCCGTACTTGGGCCGCCACATGAGGACCTGAGCGTCGTTGGCATTGGGCTTGACCAGGGCGCTGGGCGGGATGGGCTCATTCTTGCTCAGGATTTTGGGCTGGTCCTGGGCGATGGGCTCCCGCAGCCGGGCACGCTGGCCCAGGGGCCGGTTGGGGTTCACCTCGATGCTGAGCTGCATGCGCCAGTGCAGCGTCTGCAGAATGATCATGTCGTTGGTCGAGGTGTTGGTGGCTACCAGCCACGTGATGAAGCTCTGGTCCCGGTAGACGTTGGTCAGCTTGGCCACATTGCTCTCGCTGACGGGCACGGCCCACGTGACGCTGGGGTAAAAGTTGTCATTCATGCTGATGATGAACTTGGAGTCTCTCTTGGTGGGGCCCACGATGGTGCAGGTCTCCGTGGTGTTCCCGTACCAGGGGTAGTTCACCCCGTCCGAGTCGCTGATGGCCTCAATCTTGCCCTCCTGGAGGTCTGGGAGCTCCCAGCTAGACCTGAGGATGGGAAGGCCAGTTTACTCAGCCAGCCATGCACAGGCTCGTCTGCATCCCCTTGTCCCTGGGGCTTACCTCCCCAGGGGGCCAGACAGTAAACAGACACCCAACATCATGTCAGGGAACTGGGGCTCCCCTAGACATGGCCCCCCTCAAAAGCCACATCCTGTTCTCTTGCATCATCTCAAATTGGTCTCCCCCAGAAACCCCTGTAGACAGGGCTGGATTCTGGCTGGGCTTCGGGAAGCCCTAACTGCCCCTGCCCTCAAGGGAGGGGCCTGGGGGCGGCACACAGTAATGGGGGGCCCTAACCTGCGCTGTGCCCCCCCGTCCCATGTCCCAGCGGCTGGTGGGACGGCCACATGCAACCCCGTGACCTTGGTTAGGGCGGAGGCCACTGGCCCCGAGAGGCTGGGGTGGGGCTACTCTCCTGGCCACACAGCGCGTCAGGGCGGCCTGGGTAGGGGGGCAGGTGGCAGGGAGTTTCTTTCTGTTGCTTTAAGGGCCCCCAGGGGCCGTGGGGTCGGCACATCTGGGAGTGATTTCAGCCCCTCATTGACCAGCGTGTGACCGCCTCAAACGCCCGCCTGCCCCCGAGCGTTGGTGTCCAGCACCGGGGCCAGGGGCATGGGAACCAGCGCTCAGGGCCCTCGCCAAGGCTCTGGCCCTTCCCCTCCACATCTCCACCACACGTGGGCCTGAGCTCCCTGGCCCTCCGCCCAGCAAGACCAACACCGTGGGCGGTGCCCTCTTCTCCCCACCACCCACCCTGCCCCCGCCTCGTTTCTGCTCATGCCTGCCTAGAATAGGAAGCACAGCTCAGCCAGAATGGCTCCCACCTGGCTGGCCCCTGTCTGCGGAGCAGTAGAACCAAGAAAACCTAACCAGCCAGTCTCAAAACTCTGCTCTCAGTCCCAGCCTCGGGGCCAGCTTTACAATCAATGCCTCCTGGACTTGCTGCAGCTGCCGGGGAACCTGCACTTGCAGCTTCGGGCCGGGCTGAGAACCAGCAGCACTTGGTCAGCCCGACTTGCTTGCAGGGGGCTCAGCCTCCTGGCAGCCGGGCTGTCCAGAGCTCGGACTCAGGAAACCTAGTGACCTTGCTGAAAGTCTCAGCCACCCTCTCACTGGTGTGAGACCCTGGGCAAAATCCCAGCACTCCCTGGACCCCAGACTCATCACCCACTTCCCACCTGAGGTCATGGAAGGACACAGGCAGGAACATGCCAGTCCAGGGCAGGGCACAAGACAAATGCCAGTGATTGGTGCCTGCTAGCACCATTGCTGTCACTATTGTTACTATAATAATAACTCTCTGACAGAAGAGGACTGTCCTAAGTTGCTCTGAGGACACGTGGCTGGGGGCACAGCAGCGTCTGGGGAGCCCACCCCTTAGAAACTCATCAGCAATCACATCCACCCCACCAGACAGATAAAGTAATGACAGCTGGGGGGCGGGGGGTGGTCTTTTTCCCAAGTTGATTTAACTAAGCAGTCAGGCCTGGGCACCCGCCATACCAAAGATCAGGACACTTTGACCCCAGAATTCCGCACACCTGTGTACACCAGCAGTGCTCTCCAGAAACACTCCTTTACAGAATGCATTCCTGTTCATAGCAGCATTATTCACAATAGCCAAAAGGTGGAAACAACTGAAGCGTCTGTCAACGGATGATGGACAGAGTGGTCTATCCATGCAATGGAATATTATTCATCCTTAAAAAGGAAATTCTGACACATGCTACAACATGGATGAACCTTGAAGACATTATGCCAAGTGAAATAAGTCAGACACAAAAGGACAAATACTGTATGATTCCACATATATGAGGTCCCTAGAAGAGTCAAATTCATAGAAACAGAAAGTAGAATGGCGGTTGCCAGGGGCTGGGAGAGGGAAACGGGGGAGTCAGCGTTTCATGAGTGCGGAGTTTCAGTTGGGGAAGATGAAAATGTTCTGGAAATAGACACACAACAATGTGGATGTACTTAATGCTGCCAAACTTAAAAATGGTTAAGATGGTAAATTTTATGTATATCTAATCACAATGTAAAAAATGCATTCCCCTACTGAAATGCATCGTTTAATGTTAGCAGTTAGCAAATTTGGGGCCACTACAGGAGGGATGATCAGGAATGTGATTTTGCTAATTTTTCTGTTTATTTAATTAGGGTAACACCTGCCTAGTAGGCCATCTCCTGCCCGGGGCCCTGAGCTCATCAAACGCCAAGGAGGAGGTCACAGTCGTGAGCCGGCAGATTCGGCTGCCCCCGGGGGTGGCCGCCATGGACCAGAGAAGGGGGCCAGGGTCCCTGTCCCGAATTTCTCAGAAGCCTGTGCCCCACCCGTGCCCAGCCTCCTGTGGTGGAAGGCACCCACTCTGTCTTCTCACAGTGGTTACACTTGCTTATAAAAGTGGCTTTTGTTTTGTTTTGTTTTTAAGGCAGAAAGCCATCTTGCCAAAAGACCTTTTCTCTTGCCTTTGCCCTCTTTCACTTCCTAAGAGCTGGCTTGTTGTGGGACGCGGGGTTGCCACCAGAATGGCCTCTCTCTCTCAGCCTCTGACCCCCAGCTTCAGGTTCCCTTTTCCGCCTCCCAGCCCCCAAATGCCCAGGCGCTGGCTCAGTCACAGATGGGTGACAGTCCCCATGAGCTGGCAGACAGCCGTGTCTCATGTGGGGTATTGCTCAGAACCAGGGCCAAGGGCGTCTGTTTTCAAATCATCACAAACCAGCTGGGCTGGCTCTGGGCCCCGTGGTCCAGTCTCCCCGTCAAGGTGGTGGAGGGAGCATGGTTAAGGGCACAGCTCCTGAGGGACGTGGACCAGCCCGGGTCCAGTCTCCCCCCGGCTACTAGTCACAAATCTCTGAGCCCCACATTGGTTCACTGTGGATAACCGCACCCACCTTCCAGGTTTTTGAGATGATTAAATGCGTCAATATATACTACCTGGTACACAGTAAACAGCAATACGTGGAAACTTTCGGACACCATTGGAGTGAGGCTTGCCTCTAACACTAATGGATTTGCCAGCCCTGATGTGACCTGAAGCCTTTTGACCTCGTTTATGTTTTCAGATTATCCATGCTCTGAAAGGAATGATTCCATACAGCTCCTGCCTCTAAGACTTCCTGTTTGTTCTGGAATGACCTTGGGCTTCAAGGCAGACCCTCAGTTTTCCAGCTTCTGGGTGGAGGGGTGAGTTTGGACCCTGGTCCTGCACACCCTGAGCCTTCCTGTTTGCACAGCAGGGACAATACAGGTGCACATGCCCACGAAAGGTGGAGGCAAGGCTCCCAGCTCCGTGCCCGGCACACGGAGGCCCAACCAGCAGGTTTAGGTGGAGGAGGGGCATTTTGTGAACACGAGCAAACGCCCATTTCTGCCCCAGCACCTTCTCTCCAGACCTCAGGGCAGGTCGTGTCAGGCCTCCTACAGGCCAGCAGGAGGCCCTGGTCTCCCCCGTGTCCTCCCCCTTTGCTCACTGGCCTGGGCTGGTCTTCAGGGCAACACTGGCTACAGAATTTGTGGGACCAGGGGGTGAAGTGAAAATAGGAGGCCCCTTGTTCAAAACTCAAGAATTGCCACGTGGTGACAGCAGAGCATGGAACCACGCAAGGGGCCCTTCTGAGCACGGGGCCCAGTGGGACGGTGCAGTCCCCACGCCCGGGAAACTGGCCTGCTTCCGTGGGCCCCATCACACTCCCACCCTCATCCCAGAGGTGTGGGAACCCAGAGGACAGCAGGCAAGTCCAGGCTTGAAGCTGGACCTCAGAATGCTTTCTGGGGCCCCCTTGCAGCACATCTGAGACAGACTCCTCAGCGTCCCTCAATGCCCATTCCTTCTGCAGCCCCATCCACCATGCACTCAACAGATGTTTGCAGGGACCTGCCATTGACGCTGGTCACGATGCTGTGAAAGGGAGACAGAGCTGCTGACCTGGTCATCAGTGATGCCAGCGGGGCCTGCACCCTCTGGGCGCCCAGTACCATCCCTGACTCCCTCTCGCCTCCAGACTGCCCCCCTTCTGCTCTGCCTTCGCGCTGGCCACGACCCCTCACCTCTCCCAGCCTCCTCTTGCCACCTGCCATGCTCTCCTCCCTGAAGCCTGAGTGATCTTTAAAAACAGAGATCTGATGGCACTGTTCCTCCCTCCAACCCTGTTAAGCCTGCCATGACTCCCCAAGGCCCTGAAAGCCAGATGCAGGTCTTGCACGCAAACACACACACACACACACGCACGCACACACACACACACACACACACACCCTCCCTCCCTCCCCAGGCTCCAGACCCACCAGCAGGTCTTGCACGCAAACACACACACACACACGCGTCTTTGGCCACGAGCAGCGTCCCCCGCCCCCCTCCTGTCCTAGCCAGTGGTACCTACGGCTCATCTCTGGAGCCCACAGGGAAGCTCACCTGGACCCTTCACATGAGGCCTGGCGCCCCCATATTCAACCTTTGTCCCGCTGCTTCCTGGGACACGCACGGGGGGGGGATTTAATAATCATGCCACCCTTTGTTGACGACCTCACTCCCAGACAGACCACAGGGGCCGAGAAGCAGGGGCCAGGCCTCCAGAATCTATCCTGGTGCCCGGCCTAGAGTCAGACACAATAGAGGCAGGTGGCCTGGATCAGTGGTGGTGGGCAACCTGCCCCGTTTCTCCTTCAGGGTCTGAGCCCCACAAAGGGGTCCCAGTGATGAGTTTAGGGTGCCCAAAGCTGCCTCTGCTTGTGTACCTTCTCACCTGGAGCAGCTGCGGCTGGGACAGCCATGCCCAGCACAGGTCGTCCCCACTGCAACACTGGTGACAGTGGTCACGTTCCCTGAGCGCATCAGACGTGCTGGGCGCCCTGCGTACATACATCCACACAGGCTTCTCCTCAGTTACCCCAGGGCTGCAACTGAGGGTGTTTTATAGAGGAGACTTGGGGACATCAGAGGCCTGACCCAGGGAAGCCACCAGACAGGACCCACAGCCCGAGCGAGCTCTTACCCATGGCCTCCAACGGCCCCTCACCCAGCACACGCACGCATACATGCATATGCACGCACACACACACATGCACACACACACGTGCACGCACATACACGTAGACACGCACATACGGGTTCTTACCCATCTGGCTTCCAACAGACCCTCACCTGAAATACACGCACACACATGGCTCTGAGCAACATGACCTAGAGTGTAAGTCTGAGGGCCCTGGGAGCACACCTTTCCCAGCTACTTTGTGCCAGGCAGGGTGGCAAGCCTGGGCCTGAGCTCTCTCCTAGGCACGGGTGGACCCTTGTGCCCCCATGGGCCCTCGTCTCTCCCAGCTCTCTGACTGCATTTTGAATTCTGGACAACAGAGCACCTGGTCTCAGAGCAGAGTTCCCAAACTTCACATCTCTTTCCTCATTTTGGTCCTGTTTACGTATCTCCTGTGCTATTATTCACTTAATTGTTTTTCCTTGAAATCAATCACTTTTTAAAAAAACTCAACTAAATTTAGCTTTTCCTATGGAACACCTTTGAAATAACAGGTCGGATATATTGGGTATATATATATATTTTTTTTTTTCTAATACACATTAGAATAAATATGTGGCTTTAAATTACAATCATACTTAAGCTGAAACGAGTTCTCCTAAATATTATTTCACTTCCCACAAGTGGCACCGTTGGGCACTCTAAGAAACACATTTACAGATGGCGACTTGGGGCTCGAGGGCAAGAGGGCTGCCCAGGGCACAAGGTTCTTCTGCCCAGTGCTGGTTTCAGTGCCCTCCTGGGGGCCAGATGGGCGCTTAGGGATTTTCTCACCTGGTCCCCAATTTTACAGAGCTTACTGTTTTTTTGCAATTTGCAAAAAGTTCCAATTTTGTAAAATGTTTGCAATTTTACGAGAAATGAGGCCCAAGAGCCCCCTTCCAAACCAGACTGGGACCCTGGTTTCCTGACTCCTGCCCTGGGCGGCCGCCCACTGTGCTGGCCCCTGCCCACCAGACAGGTCACCAGAAGCCCCTTCCCTGGGGGAGGAGCTGGAGGTGTCCCCTCCCCGCCTGCCCCTAGGGTTCCCCCAAACAACAAACACCACTTTTTCTTCCCACCTTACCCTTCTTCGCCCAGGCCACACTCCCAGGGCCCAACACGAGGGGGAAAGGGCCAATAGCGTTTTAGTTTTTAGTTATAAAAGCTGCGTTTTTGTTTAAAAAAAAAAAAAAAAAAGCAAGCCATCGAGAAGTACAAAATGTGAGAAACGATGGGGCTTCCCTGGTGGCGCAGTGGTTGAGAGTCCGCCTGCCGATGCAGGGGACACGGGTTCATGCCCCGGTCTGAGAAGATCCCACATGCCGCAGAGTGGCTGGGCCCGTGAGCCATGGCCGCTGAGCCTGCACATCCGGAGCCTGTGCTCCGCAACGGGAGGGGCCCCAGCAGTGAGAGGCCCGCGCACCGCAAAAAAAAAAAAAAAAAAGTGAGAAACGAAAGTCCTGTCTTCCGTGCTTCCGCCTCCCTCGCTGAGGTTACTCACCACATACACTCTGATAAACATCCTTCTAGAGCATCCTGCCTGCACACACACACACAGTAGATGTTCCCGTTTCTAGCGCTTTTAACAGAAATGGATTCCTACCCTACATCTTTTACAACTTCTTTTAATGCAACGATGATAATATGATAGGGAATCTCTAGCTTCTCTTCCTCATGTGTAAGGACTATTCTGCCCTGGAGACAGACCATAGTTTCACCCCCCTACTGATGGACACTTGGGGTGCTCATGGCTCTTCAGTGATGGACAGGGCTGGAGTCTCTGTCCCCACACATACGTCCTTCTGCCCTGCTTCCTGCATTCACGTATTCGTTAATTCACTTGCTCGGGAGATTTCTGTGTGTGCCTGCCATACTCCAGGCACCAGGCCAGGGGCTCAGTTTCTCTAAGACAGACTCTAAAAGTAGGACAAGAGAGTTGAAGGGCACGTGTGCTTGAAATTGTAGTGGACAGAGCCAAGCTCACCTTCCGGAAGCTGCGTAAATTGTACCCCCAGGAGCAGCACCGGAGGCCGTCTACTCCCCCCGCCCCACAGCAGGCATTACTGATCTTTTGTATTTTTACCCAGATCCGATCAGCAGAAACGAAAAGCATCTCCGTATGTCATTGCCGGTTCCCTGATCGCTGTGCTGTCAAAGCCTCCTCACATGTCTCTGGAAGCTGCCAGCTTTTGTCTTCAGCCCTCAGAAGGTGAGGGTGGGTGCGATCGCTTGGCCGGGGCCGGTCCAGGGGGAGTTCTATTGGGGCCAGGCCGTCCCCGCAAACTTCCTCCCACCCCAAAGCCTGGAAACGAGAACTTCCCTCTCCTGCCTCCGCCAGGGCCCTGCAGATGGGGGAGGCTGTCTTCCGCTCGCAGAGAGGAAGCATCGTCCTCAATTGTTCTGCACGGGCCCAGGCTGCAGGAAGAGGCCACATGGTCACAAGGGCCATTCCTCCTGACCCGGCCCCTGACCACTGGAGCAGAGCAAGCCTCCTGGGGCAAGTGGCCTCAGGTCTCAGCGGCCCTGGCCTCACCATAAAATCGGGACCTCACGGGGTCCTTGGGAGACCAGAGAGTGAACGGGGAGCTGGGGCAGCCACACAGCATCACCCCAGCTCCAGCATCCCCTGGCCAGAGGCCTCAGGTCCCCCCACCCCTGCCCAGCCCTTTCCCACCAGCCTCATAATCCTGTGACAGCAGATGTCACCACAGGTTCTGGCTGGAAAGACCCTCAGAGGTCTCGTCGCCCGAGATTCTCATACTGTAGGCGGGTATGTGAAACCCAACCCAGGAGAAGAAAGAACAGTAATGACTCCAACACGGCAATCTCTGTGCTGACTCTCTGCCAGGCACTGTGTAATTGATGATGAATTATTACTAGTTACGGTATGGAGAGCGACCACATATACTATCTCATTTAATCCCTCAAACAACCCTGCGATGAGGGACCGTTCTCCCCATTTCATAGAAGGGAACAGTGAGGCTCAGAAAGGTTGAGAGCCTGGCGCAAGCTCGCCACACCCGTGGACGGTGGAGCTGGAGCCACGCCTGGCTGGACAAGGGCACAGGCGGGTGGCACTGCCAACCCAGAGAGACCCCGTCTCCTGAGCTGCTCTCCCCTCACCCCAAGCCTGACCTGTGGCAGAACCCTGAGCCAGAACCAACCTTGACCTTGGCCATGGGCCAGATTCTCTGGGGGCTCCAGAAGAGGGCAAACTAGGGATAACGTGAAGCATCTCCCACACAGGGGAGAAACTGTGACTCGTCACTCGGAAGACTGTGCCAGCTGACAGGTGGCAGCTAAGGATTGTGGAGGATGGGGTGGTGGATGCAGGCGGATTCAACAGTGTTCTGGGGGGGGGGTGGCTTTGAAAGCTATGTGGGTTGGACCCCAAACCATATAGAATCCTCTCAAGCTGGCACAAGAAACTCGCCATCTTCTAGCTCTCGTCTGTAAGTCGGGGTATTACTGGGGTGGCATGTGGCATTGTTCCACTGCAAATATTTCCAACCCACGACATTCAAAAGGGTTCTCCTCCTGGATTAGAGATTAATTTCAAGCAGGGATAATGTTTGGGGGTATTATGGGTTTTGCTGAAGTATTTAGAATTAATATTTTTAATACAAGCCCATTTGGCAAGAACAGAAGCCCTAACCTAACCTTCGCCACATTGCCGTTCCCTCCCCAGGCCATTAAAGCCCAGTGCCCATGTGGGTTTCGTTTTAAGCCTTCAAATTGTCTGGGTCTAGCCCAGTAGTTCTCAACCAGGGGTGACTTCACACCCCTCCCGGGGACATGGGGCAGTGTCCGGAGACACGTTTGGTTGTCAGAACAGGGGGAGGGAGGCTGCTGGCATTGAGTGGGTAGAGACCAGGGACGCTGCCCAACATCCTGCAGTGCACAGGACAGCCTGGTCCCGGCAAAGTTAGGGGAAGGTTCCGGGCAGCCTGAGGCCGCTGGTCATCCCAGCGCTCACCATCCCTCACTTTCTTTCACGTCACAGGTCTTAAAAATATGAAGAAGCTTAGTTACCACAGGAGGTTTGGGGTAGGGGAGATGGGAAGGGTATTTTCATCACATCAAAATGCTTCCGTTTACATTCGAGCAGGTGCAGCTGTCCAGGCTTATTCCGGAGGGCGCCAGTTGAATACAGAGCCTCCCCATGGGCCGGAGGAACCATGGTATTTGGTAATTCAGTTTCTTAATGTAATTTTGTTGATTAATAATCAATCGAGCAGTTTCCAACTCAGCATTTCAGCCACGGGTGACCTACACCTGTCCTCTCGCCGAATCCTCCCAGCAGCCTAAGGGGGGTTCTTACCCTGTTCACAGATGGCAAAAGCAAACCTCCAGGAGGTGACCTGCCGAGGCCCCAGAGCCAGTACTGGGCCGTGATTCTGACCCCGGGGCCTGAGCCCATTAATGACCAGTCCATCCTGCCCCTCCAGGGAGCCTCGAACTCTGCCCTTTCTCCAGGGCTGGTCCTATCCCAACCAGGAGTCCAGTGGACCCAGGAGAACGAGGTATGCGGGACACAGGGGTCCCTGCGCTGAAGGCGTGTCCCGAGAAGGGGAGGGAACAAAAGGGAACACATGGAACTCAAGGAAAACAGCCTTCAACCACTTGAAAACTCAAATCGTCCATGACTTACACTATTATTAAATTCTTAAAAGTCAGGGAGTGGGCCCTCTGTGAAAGAGGAAGACCTGGGCTGGGGAGAAAATTCCACACAAAGAGTAATTTACATCTGTCCAAATTCTGTCGTTTCGGCCCTGATTCTCAACTCGTTACATATCCCATCACCCACTTCGCATCCGATAGAAGAATCAGAACGGTAATAACACTGTTAAGGACGACAGTCACATGCAGTAACTGTTGACCGTGGGCTTGGCGGAGTGCCGGCTGCTTGACCAATGTCATCTCCCGTAATTCAATAAGCCGTGGTGCAAGGACTGTGACTGGCCCCAATTTGCAGACGAGGAAACCGAGGGTCAGAGTGGCTCAGGTCACACCCTGGAAAGTGGCAGAACCTGGACTCAAGCCCAGGTCTGCTTGACTGCAGTCTAGATGTGCACTGGGTTCCTCTAACCGGGAACCAAGGACTGGCACAGACAGAGAAAGGTCACCTCAGGTCTCCCGATGCACGCCTGTCTCCAGCCATGGCGCTTGGATGGACTCAGAGCCAACAAAGGGAGCACAGGGCCTTGAAGACTCTGTAAACATCCCCCACCCGCCCACCCCCGTGCACAGATGGGGAAGCTGAGCCTCCAAGCCAGGCCCACTCCCTCCCCACCGCACACCACGTCCGTCTCTGCAGAACTCAGTCCCTTTAGCTTTCCCCAATGTTCTTCCTCTTGGAGCTTGCATCTTTCCAAGTTCAGAAGGACCTCTGGCTTCCTTACCCTTTCTAGGGAAGAAAACAAGCGGAGCCCAAAAGCCCTAGGGAAACCTGTGTGTCTTGCCAGTTGCCCCAGAAGCCTTGCAAAGCCTGAGAAGGTTTTGGGTTTAAGGCTTCTTAGGGAAGGTCCACAGCAAATAACTAAGAACCATGTTTCCCTTCTTGGGATGGAAAGTCAGCCCCCAGCCTGGTTTAAGAGCCACTTGGAGAATTAGACTTGGATGTAGACGTCGGGTGGACAGAGGGGAGCCGATGAGTGTCCAGATATGCGCCATGTGCACCTCTGGGGCGGTCATGGTTACACCTAGCTTTAAGTTTTTCCATGATCCTCCTGTTGCCCTTGCAACTTCAGTCATCTAGTGGAGAAGCCACAAGATTTGGTGTCCCCTCCCCACCCTCTCTAATTTCAGCTGGCCCAGAATATTCTCTTCTTTTTGCGGTACGCGGGCCTCTCACTGTTGTGGCCTCTCCCGTTGCGGAGCACAGGCTCCGGACGCGCAGGCTCAGCGGCCATGGCTCACGGGCCCAGCCGCTCTGCGGCATGTGGGATCTTCCCGGACCGGGGCACGAACCCGCGTCCCCTGCATCGGCAGGCGGACTCTCAACCACTGCGCCACCAGGGAAGCCCAGGATATTCTTAAATCAGTGAAGAGTTCCAAGTCCTGGGGAAAGTCTCCTCCATTCCTCACCTGCGGGACCGGGAAGGGATGCTGCACAGGGTAGAGACCCCGAGAGACAGGCTGTGGGCGAGTGTCCATGGCCAGCCATGGGAGTCACAGGGGTCAAGTTGGGGGGCTGCCCTTGGGGCCTGCCTGGTGCTCTCAGAAGCGTCCTCGTGCTCAGAAACAGCTATTGTCACCACCCTGTCTTAGGCGGCCCTTCAAGTTAAGTCACCTCCCCGTCTGTCTACAGCTGCTCTTGCCACACGCAGGATGACCATCTCTAGGGTCAGAGAACATGCCAGGGGCTCAGGGTGCCGCACCGAGAGGTACACCCTCCTGGGGACATTCTGGGGACTGGGCTGGACAGAAGAGGTCTGTGGGCTCCTCTCAGCTCTTAGGGGCCCACTGGAGCCTTCTGGACACAGACACTGGCTGTCCACATAAAGTGGCCTTCTGCTGTGGAGAGAGAAAACACTGCACTGAAAAGCACACCGGGTTTCTAAAACCCTCTCAAACAAAACTCCGTCCGGAACAGAGCAGAGTGTTCCCCCAGGTCCTGATGTGCCTCTGAAAACACCAGGGGACGAATTCAGGTCCAACACAGAGCCCTGCACACTAAATCTGGAGGCTGCAGAGGCCCAGCTCTCCTTCCCTGAGTACCTGCCGCGTGTGCAGGTCTGAGCCGGGCCAAGCCGCAGCCTCTCTAGTGACCCGGGACAGCATGCGTGCTTTGCCAAAGAGGAACCTGGTGGAACGTCCCTCTGCTTTCTGGGCGTCTTGCAGGGAGGGTACGGGAACCGCAGGGGGCCAGGGACAGTGGAAGGGACGGTCCTAGAGCCGTGACCCCAATCTGAATCAACAGGCGAGCCCTCTAGGTCACCTGGCCAAGGAGGAATCAGAGGCCACTTCCATGTCTGCCTAACACTTCCCTCTGGCCCTGATGGGACCCCTCTCTAACCCCGCCGAGCTCACCCCCAGACCCCCAAGCTCCCCCATCCCAGGGGCCCCCCGAAGCTTGCTCCTGAGCAGTACTCACATGCCCTGCTCCCCATACTGGTTGTAGAACTCCATGTGGCTGCACGCCTGAATCCAGCCCACTATCCAGGTCTCCTTCTTGGGGATGGGCGGCATGACCACCTGGGCCGAGGCACGGAAGTGGGGTGTCCGGTAGCGGAGCACCACGCTGGAGGACTCATCGATGCTGGTGGGGACGGGATCGATAGAGGCCTTGACGTCGATCACCGTGATGCCTTCCCGGAAGACTCTGGCTTTGCCCCCGATGCTCTGAATACAGCCCATGGCACACAGTACGAGTCTGATCTCCAGGGAAGGCCAGCAGTCCCAGAGAAAATCGGGCATTGAAAGGATGGAGGCTGCCGGACCCAGTGCAGACGGTACAGCTCTCCAATCTCAAATCTCAAGACTGATATCCATAGGATAGAAAATTCACTGAGTAGAGGGGGTTTGCATATCACTACCTCGGGCCTGATTATAAATAAGGATTTTGCTGCATTTCAAGGGCCCTGGGTTCTCTCTTCTTCTGCTAGCAGTGGACAAAAATCACCGATACTCTTTGGGTTAAAAAAAGAAAAGTTCGGAGGTTAATGGATAATCATGTTGTTCAGACATCCAGCCCTTCCTTCTGTGCTTCACACGCGGGGAACGCAGCTCAGAGACGCTCCCTGAAGTCTTGAGGCGAAGAAGGCAAATGCCGGCAGGCACATAAATAAGGAAGGCTCCGTCGCCTGCGCGGTGCCGCCACCCTCGCTGCAGAAGACCGACTTCCTGCCCTTCTGCCTTCCGCACGCGCTCGGGGCACACGCGCCCGGCCGCTCGCCCAGCCCGGCCGAATCAATGGAAGAGCAGTTTCTGTTCAATCCGCCGAGGTCTGGGCGCCCTCGGTGGCTTCCAAGAGGCGAGCGCCCGGCTCCCGCGGGGTCCCCGAGGAGCGCGGCGCGGATCCCCGTCGGCGACCACTCGCGGGCACGCCGCGTCCCCTCGCCGCTGTCACTGTCGCCGTGCGGGGCCCCAGGGCTGCGCTCGGGCCGCCGCCTGGTTCGCCGCGACCGCCGAGGACCTGGTGGGAGGTGGAAGGGACAGGACGTCAAGGCCCGCCTCAAAGTTGAGCCGAACTTTGCTGCGGGGGGCGCGCGGGGCGGCGACGAGTCTGCGCGGGGCGCGGGCTGCGGAGCTGACGGCGCAGCTCTGTGAGGTCTGCCCGGAGGCGGCGGCCCGCCCCCGCCCCCCCCCCCCC